AACCCCAAGACTACATGTGCTAAATCTGTGAGAGATTGATAAATAAATGAAAATACCAGCAATCTTATTGTTTTAAGAATATATTAAGTAAACTCGTAATTAAATTCTTAAAAATTCAAAATGTAACAGAACCATAATTAGTATGAAAATGCAAGGTTTTAGCAGGAACCTTAATATGATGAGTCAAATATTTCCCCAAATCTGGAGGAAATCGAAGAGTATGCAAAATTTTTGGGCATGGACCCTGTTGAGGACTAAGAATTCTTATATATAGCCAAATAAGGACTTCTAGAGCCACTTCCTTATCCTTGGGAAATGATTAAAGGAGAGAATGATATAATGATCTATGTCAATACATAGACATAAGAGGAATAAGACTAGCATCCTCTTGATGATAAGTACAGGTAATGGTTTCAAACTGAGAAGCAAAGGAAGATTGCTATGATCTAGTATCATTAAATGCAGCAATAGCATATAGTTAATTAGTAGTAGTAACATTAGTAGCAGATGCTATATACTCCATTGCAATAAAGTCTGAATCAAAGCCCATATATACCCTCCTCAATGATTCATCAATAATAGCTGCCATAGTAAATGTTTGGAGTGAGCAGCTTTCCAAATCAAATCTATTAAGATCCAAACTAACAATAAAATATAAATATGCTAATGATGGATGAAAATGATTCTGCGATAGTGTTTGATGAAAGATAAATTATAAATCAATACAATCAGCATGATTTTGAAACATTCAATCCTACTTAAGACACCAGAGCTATGCAGAATTTGGCTTATTAGCAGCAACTATTGAATAGTAGCATGCCACCTAACCTTCAATTAATGAGTTAAGGCAATCCTTAATGGCAGTAAGCTAACATTCTGGCTTCTTAAAACTTCAATAATCTAAGAGACATCTCAGTCAATACATCATTTCAGACTGAAATCAATAACTTTGTAAATACTATCAACTAGTAATATTTGTAAGAATTAAAAAAGTAAAAGGAATAATACTTACATAATAAAATAAATCTTCTCAAAGAATTTTAGGATTAGAAGCTACAACAAAGATAGCAATAGAGTAGAGATAAACAAAAGCATATTCAAAATGAGATGAATAAACTTAGAGAAGAATCAATCATAACTATTTAGCAAAAACTTCAAGAACATCAAGATCTTTTGAGGGCCTAAATGCAAAGGAAAATTGTTTAAGATGAAGATCATAGTGTCAATGAGGTAATGGCATTACAAAGACAAAAAATCAATAGAAAATATGAATAAAACATTCGGTACGAAAGAGATTAACTAGAAACATTGCACAATCTGGAAATTCAAAGATTCAAGCTTCAGTATTAATAAAAACTAAGTCTCTAAAAATAAAAAATTTAATTGCAGTATGAAGAAGACAACTAAAATGGAGCAGTTCCCTCTGATAATTATTACTCCTAAGTCAGAGAACTTGAGGAAATGAGATTAAGATTAGATGAAGAAGTTGACGATTTAAGAGATAGGAAAAAACTAGAAATCAATGATGAAATTACATTCATGAGAAAATAATATGATGCTATGAGGGAGAGAGAGCAACAGAGAATTGAAAAGCACTATTAAATTCTGTTTAAGGAAGAGGATTTGGTACAATAACAATTCTATGATGATTTATTCGCGAAGAAGGAAGCCTTTAAACTTGAACTTAAAGATAAAAATGAGAAGAAAATTGAATTGGAAATGAAAAAATTACATTTGGAGTTTAAAGACTAAGCTAACTAGATTAAGATAAGATCAGATAGATAATACAATCAGAATTTATTACAAATTAAGAATAATTATGAGCTATCGTCATAATAATCTAAGAATAGTATGTAGATTTAGCATTATAGAGATTCTCATATTAATAGTAGCGATAAATATAAGATCTAGAAGGAAAATGAATTGAAATTAAAAAAAGAGGAGATAGATAAGGAAGTGAATGGTTTAATTAGAGATTTAAACAAACAAAATACAATAGAGTTCAATGAAATGAGTCAAAATTAAAAGATACTGAAGGAATTAGAGAGTCTTAAGAAAGAACTAAAAGATAAAAGACAGAAAAAGATAAATTTAGAGCATGACATAGAGCACGAATAACTGATGAGATAAAAAATTTCGACCAAGTTTGAGTTATTAAAGGTTTAGATAGGAATGAATGAGAAGTTAAAAGGTAGTGAAAATGAGAAGCATCATAAACAGGTTCTATAGGAGAAAGAGCAAGAACTGAAGAATATACTAAATGATATTGAGAGAATCAAAGAATTTAAGGTAATGGCTTCTGGATAAAAAGGAGATAGAGATACTTTGTATTAGGAAATAAAAGACATCAAAGAATTTATCAGAGCTTAGCCTGTGAGTAAAGTCAGCGATGAGATAAATCCTTAATTAGAGATTTCAGAGCTAAGGACTGTAATACCAAGGGAGATAAACAAAGTCGAAGAGTAAATATCTCAATTAAAAGAAGAAAAGGAGACTATGAATGAACTATTAAAGATTGTTGGGAACGACTTAATGACAGGAATAGACTCAGAGATAGATGTTACAGATAGAAAAAAGTACAAAGCTTGGGGCATTGTCACAGATTTCAGAGTTAACATTGAAAACTAAAAGCCTAAAATTTAAAATGACATTTATAAGATAGAGAAACAGATTGATTAACTTGAAGGCTCGCTAAATTTGCTTTTGAAGTTAAAGTAAAGGGTTGAGACAGCATAGAGCATGCTAAAAGTAAAAGATAAATAAGAGCAGCTTAATGATGATGTGAGGTAGTTTAGACGAGAGATGGAAAGTTACATAAGATAAATTTGGGCCATAAAGCAATCTAAAGCTTAAAATGATAGTCTTGATATTATTCCAACTAGAGACTATGGAATAGTTGGAGAGAGAAACAGAATTGCCAGAGAAATTATGTTAGACCATGGTAATTACCAATCATATAGAGCAAAGAAATATGCTGGTTCTAAATCAAAGGCTTCAGATATATTAAGCTAGCATAACTATTGGATGTAGAAAAATTTTAGACCTTTATCAATTAAGATTTGAACAATTTAGTTATATTTATATTATTGATTTCTTAATATTATAATCAATTTAATCTTTAGGGGTTTTGGGGTTTTGGGGTTTTGGGG